CAAAGGACAAAGGGACCCCAGAAGAGGAGAAGGACTTTGGGGGGTGCCAGGACCCCGAGGGGCTGCAGAGACATGCTGGGTCCCCTGGGGACATGGGTGGGGACATGCCAGTGCCCACCAGTGCCCAGGGTGAGCAGAGCTCTGGGGTTGTGGTGCCTCTGGGGACACATGGTGGCTCTGGGGACCCCTAGCATCTCCGGGGAAAATGAGGCCCCTGGGAACACGGTGGCTCGGGGACATGTGATGCCCCTGCGGACACTCAGTGACTCTGGGGACACGCGGTGGCTCTGCTGGGGTGTGGCAGGTCCGTGTCCTCAGTGTCCCCGCTGCCTTTGGCCGGGACGCGGCGCAGCCGGGACGGTGGCAGTGCCACCTGCGTCCCCCGGCTTTGGCAAGCGCAGGGACACCGAGGTCCAAGGATATTCCCCACGGTGCCACCGTGTCCCCGGTGTCCCCGGCACGCTGCCCTGCCGCATCCGCGGCGGAAACCGCGGCGGGGCCAAACGCTGGCGGGGGCTGAAAAGGCCTTTTCGGAGCCGGTGGCGGCGGCCGGGGCTGGCAGGGGACAGGGACGGGGACGGGGACGGAAACGCGCCTGGCGCTGCCACCGGCCGTTTGTCCCTGTCACCTCCCATTCTTTCCCTTCCTCTTCCTCCTGCCGGGCCAGGACGCCTGGGTCCCCTCCACGGGACGGGGGGGTGAGGACAAGGGGAAACGGGGACGTGCCAGGGGACAGGGACAGAGGGGACAGAGGGATGGGCGGGAGCAGCAGCAGGCCTGGCACTGAGGTGCCACGAGTCCCTCAGGTCTCTGCAGCTGGGGGGGGTTCCCCCCCTGCCCCGTGTCCCCCCACATCCTGGGGACAGCGTGGGGGGCTCTGCCTGGGCCCCCACGGCATGAGGCAAATCCCCCCAACCTCAATTCCTGTGTGTGTGTGAGGGGGGGAAGGGGGGCTCCCATCCACCCATGCCCCAGAGCACCCCCACATCCACCTGTCTCCCTCCACATCCCTGAATATGCATCCAGGTGCCCTCCCCATGTCCACCTGTCCCTCTCATGTGCCCCCCTTCCTCTCCATCCCCCCAGCTCTGTCCCACCCACCCAATAACACCAAACTCTGTTCCCCACTCCTCCCCAGACAGGTCCTTGCTCAGCCATCCACCCTCTCACCCACCTCATCATCCCTCCATCATCCCTGTCTTCTCCATTCATCCTTCTGTCTCTCTTCTCCATCCCTCCATCCATCTTCCTACCCATCCCTCCTCTACATCCATCCCTCCTCTACATCCATCCATCCATCCATCCATCCTCTCCCTCCCATCTTCTTCATCCCCTCCATCCATCTCCTCCACCCCCTGAGCACCCCCCTCTCCTCGTGCGCGTCCCCCCAGGCCAGCTGTCCCCTCCTCACCTCCTTCCCCATCTCCCCCTGTCCCAGATGACGTCGGCCACCAAGGTGTACTACAGCCAGACGACGCAGACCGACAGCCGCCCGCTGCTGGGCGCGGGGCTGCGCCGGCGCCGGGTGCTCACCAAGGACGGGCGCAGCAACGTGCGCATGGAGCACATCGCCGACAAGCGCTTCCTGTACCTCAAGGATCTCTGGACCACCTTCATCGACATGCAATGGCGCTACAAGCTCCTCCTCTTCTCCGCCACCTTCGCCGGCACCTGGTTCGCCTTCGGCGTCGTCTGGTACCTGGTGGCCGTGGTCCACGGGGACCTGCTGGAGTTCGACCCGCCCGCCAACCACACGCCGTGCGTCATGCAGGTCCACACCCTCACCGGCGCCTTCCTCTTCTCCCTGGAGTCTCAGCCCCCCATTGGCTATGGCTTCCGCTACATCAGCGAGGAGTGTCCCCTGGCCATCGTTCTGCTCATCACCCAGCTGGTCCTCACCACCATCATGGAGATCTTCATCACCGGCACCTTCCTGGCCAAGATCGCCCGGCCCAAGAAACGCGCCGAGACCATCAAGTTCAGCCAGAACGCGGTGGTGTCCCAGCACAACGGCAAGACCTGCCTGATGATCCGCGTGGCCAACATGCGCAAGAGCCTCCTCATCGGCTGCCAAGTGACAGGCAAGCTCCTCCAGACCCACCTCACCAAGGAAGGCGAGAGCGTCCGCCTCAACCAGGTCAATGTGGACTTCCAGGTGGACACGTCCTCCGACAGCCCCTTCCTCATCCTGCCCCTCACCTTCTACCACGTGGTGGACGACTCCAGCCCCTTCCGGGACGTGGCCCTGCGGACGGGCGAAGGCGACTTCGAGCTGGTGGTCATCCTCAGCGGCACGGTGGAGTCCACCAGTGCCACCTGCCAGGTCCGCACGTCCTACCTGCCCGAGGAGATCCTCTGGGGTTACGAGTTCACCCCGGCCATCTCCCTCTCGGCCAGCGGAAAGTACGTGGCCGACTTCAGCCTCTTCGACCAGGTGGTGAAGGTGACGGCCCCGTGTTGCCTCCACGAAACCGTCCGGTTTGGGGACCCCGAGAAGGTGAAGCTGGAGGAGTCCCTGCGGGAGGCGGCGGAGCGGGAGCGCGAGGGAGCCCCCCTGAGCGTCCGCATCAGCAACGTCTGAGCGCCGGGACACAGCCCAGGTGCCACCAGCCACGAGGAGCCACCAAACCTGGAGATACCACCAACCCCTGGAGGCGCCACCAGCCCCAAAGGTGCCACCAAACCTGGAGATACCACCAGCCCCAGAGGTACCACCAACCCCCAGAGGTGCCACCAAACATGAAGATTCCACCAACCACTGGAGGTGCCACCAACCCCTGGAGGTATCACCAACTGCTGGAGGTGCCACCAAATCTGGAGATACCACCAACCCTGGAAGGTGCCACCAACCCTGGGAGGTGCCACCAGCTCTTCCCTCCGTTGCGTCCTCCCGGTCCATTTTGCCCCATCCTCACGGCACAGGGCAGCTCCGTCGGGGACCCCACTGGTAGAGCTGTCGTGTCCCCCCCCACCCGGGGACAGGCCTGTCCCCATCCCACTCCCCTAATGCGCTGCTAACACCCCCGGCCCCGCCGCAGGACACAATCCTGCCGGGAGATGCTGTCCTGGGGTGGGGGACACACACACAAAAAACCACCTCCAGCCCCCGGGGGGGGGACACGGCCACCTCCAGCCCCTGGGGACAGCTGGGGACATCGCTTGTATCAGGCCCGCACCACCTC